TATATCAAATTAAATGTAATGCAGAGTTAATATACTCACATTCTATTCAATTAAAGAAGACAGCTAGGTTATATACAAATTCACCTTCTATTGCCCTTATACCAACACCAACAAAATATCTATAGGATAGAGAAAGGCAGCTGGTGGGGGAGTGTGGCATATGAAATATGTGTGTTGACTGATGCTCTACTGGAAATCCATCTTTGCTCTTCCAAATTGCACATTCAGTGGGAGTGTGCGTGGGGAGGCTAATAGAAGTTTAGAGTGGCTACCAATACTGTCTGACAGAGTCTTGCTCCCAGTTTAAGCCTGGGGTTGGTGAAAGTGAGAGAGAGACAGAGACAGAGACAGGGAGAGAGAGAGAGGAGAGAGAGAGAGAGAGAGAGAGAAAGGAATACCCTCCAGATCAATAAAGTCATTGGGAACAGACCTTTTCCTTTGCTCCCAATGCCTGGAGAGTTTTAAACTCACTGGCTCTCACAGGCTCATCATAATGCCCATCAGTTGGGGAGGCCACTAGAGCCCACTGGAAACTGAAGGACTCATCTCAAGAAGGCTGCTGAACAGAAGGGCAGAAGAGAAAACAAGGCCTTATTTTCTTCTACAGGTTTTCTCTGCATCAAAGAGAAGCCCACTGGGAGTTGGGGAGACACTGCTTGAGCTGATGGAACATCATCTAACAAATGGAGAGGGTTCTTTGGGGCTATGGGATAGTGGCCCTGAGCAGGCACATGTAGGGCCTGTTCAGCTCAGAGTCTTTAATTCTCACTGGGAAGAAGGAGGACCAGAGGAAGCCTATCAGTCTGCAGAAGCTGAATACCACTCTCCCTAGTGGCACCTTCTCCAGACTCAACCATGGGAAATTCACAAGCGCATGTGTAATAGAGAGTGAATAAATCAGACACTTCGGCCAACAAGAAATAACCAGAGACTGCTCTTATTTGTCATGGGAAATTGGGGGAGTGGTCACTTAAACACTGGTGGGAAAAAACGTTTCAGGACTGTGCCTCGGATTTCTCCAAGGTGATCACTCCCTTATGTGATTTGATGACACTTGTTCCCAAGGGTTGGTTGAGTCTCTCCCTCTAGCCCATTGAGCTCTTGGGTTAAGGGCTGATGACTACAGAGAATGACTCACAATAGCCCTGTTGCTTGTGATGGTAGGGGCACCAAGTCCAACTTCAGAATTAAATGAGCACTTTTAGAGGTCCTGTTGAGAGAATAGGCTAGAGGAGATAAAAAGGTCTGTCTTTCCGAGACAATTTATGTTACAAATTATATTTAAATTAGGATCTTTCAGTCAAAGGCTTTCTTAGCATACAAAAGAGAACCAACATTTTCTAGCAGAGGATGAGGGTAGGTGAACATACAATGGACACCTCCTTGTAGAAAATACATTGTACTAATAGTCTCTGTTTTGCATAAGAAAGATACCACCCCTTGCCACTACTCCCATTAGTGTGATACCCACTGACTGGTCTGATCAAAAATACTTTGGGTTATTAGAATTATTTCTATATTCAACACATAACAGGATAGTGAGATGGGTTCCTGTGAAAGAGACACAATTACTTTGCAATCAAATAATTAACAATTCTGAATCAGTATATGAAGAAACTCATGAATTTCCTATAGAAATTTTGTAGTATGTGGTTCAGTGTCAAATGAAAAATATATCTTTCAAAATTTGATTTTCCTCCAGGTCTTCAGGGCTCCTGCTTGCCCCCATCTTTTTCCAGGTTGATTTTACAGGACTGACTCTGAAAGTGCTATGATTCCAGGTCCCAGCTTCTCTGGAGGGATGGGGCTGAGGTTTGGGAGCAGAGCTTGGACTCAGAGACTGAACCAAGTCTAACAGAGATGTCTCATACCTGAAAGACACACAAGCCAGACAGAAAAGACAGATTATTAGAACATTAGAATTCAAGAAACCCAATCCAGCAGAGATGGGCTCCCCAAGGCAAAATCAGGTCATGTGCAAGAGGTTTCCTAGGCTTTCAGGAGGGTAAAAGCCAGAAAAACTTTAGAACCAAGGCCCCTGCCACCTATCTGAAGCTCTTCTACTCTGCTAAGCTCTAATATTCCTTTCTAACTGTGGAGAGAGTATGGAGTGGGAATAAATCATGCTAACAGTGATCACATTAACGGCAGCATTTACTGCAGCCTTACTAAGTCTCAGGCACTGTTCTCAAGACTTTACATGTATTAAACTTTCTTTAGCCCTCTGAATAACTCTGTGAAGTAGGTACTGTACTACTTTGATTCTCCTTATATACATGAGGAAACAGGCTCAGGGAAGCAACTCATCTAACAGGAAGCTGTGGTGAGGCACAGGCAGGATTCGAACCCACACAGTTTATGTAATGTCTCTAGGACATTAAAGTTGCCTCTCAAAGTCTTTGGAGCCAGACAGACTTGGTTCAAATTTCCACTCAACCATTTGCAAGCTTTGTGATATGGAGAAAGTTACTCAGTTTCTCAATTCAGTTTCCTGAAGTTCCATAAGGAGCTAACAGCTAATCTATTTTAGGATTAAAGGAACTAAAGTTGATATAAATGACCATACGGTAGGCACCTAATAAATGTTAGTGTCTTTCTGTTATTCCATTCAATTTCTCTAGAATCTTGAGAAAAACAACAAAAAACCCCTTATCTGATTTTTAAAAGAGATATCTTTAAAGAAAGACTGTTATTCAGAATTCTTATCAAAAAGGCTAAGCTTGTGATCAGATGGTAACACAACTGACCCATAAAGGATAGGTCCTGGGTTTACATCCTGGGACCTCTCCCTACATCTGTGTGTATGCCAGTGATCTGGGCTAGCTGAGACTGGAGGTGTATTGCAGCATGAGAACTCTGTTGGTGGTACCCGTCTCTCTCTCTCTCTATCTCGTCTTCTCTCTTTCTTACTCTTTTTTTTTTTTTTTGGAGAGGTTTTTTTGCTATAGGGCACGTGTGCTCGCCAGAAAGAGAGACAGAAAGCGAGAAATCCCCCCCCGGTGGTGGCCATGCCGCAATCCCTTCTCCTCCATTCTCCTCTCAGGATCTTGGGCATGCACACACACACAGGCGCCCGGCGTGAGTTTAAGCCGCCGGGTCTGGGACTCGAATGTTGTCGACTACGTGGGAGTCCAGTGACGTAGCCATTATGCTAACTGCTGGTCCCTCTTTCTTACTCTTTTTCATAGAATAAGCTTGGAACAGCTTAGAGACAGGGAAAATAATTACAGTCAATGATACCCTCATCTATGGCCCACTGCATGCATTTCCAGGATGAAACCAAAGGCATATCATATATGCCTTATACTCATTCATACAAAGCGTCAAATAATTCCACAGGTAAATCACGAAGCTTCAAGAGGTGTGTATGTGACTTGTCTGGTTTAGGGCTCTGCTCTTATGAGGGTCCTGACTTGGTTTATGCTCTGCTGCTGCTGTCTTGAAATTTTTAGTGATTTTATCTTTGAACTTGTGCTTTTTAAGTGAGGGCTGATGGGAAAATGGAGCCTGCATGGGATCAGAGGCGGTATGCTGGACATGCACATGAGGGTTCTGGTCTGCAGACACAGTGGACAACAGGGCAAATAGCCTGGCTGCCTGGATGCACACTCATGCCAAAAGCATTAGGGTGTGGCAGGGCTTCTGGGGGACAGCTGGGGCCAAGACCTACACCAGGTTAGCGGTGGTTATGCTGGCAGCAATGGTGCTGGTGGTGGTAAGACGGGAGGCTGGTTTGCCTGTCTGTTCCCAGAGCCCATCCTCATGGCAAACTATCACCTCTCTGGCCTGAGCACCGGGAAAGGAACTGCTGACATTCAGGCAGTAAACACCAGTAAACTATTACAATATAAAAGCATACACATGGATATTGTCATAAAGCCTATCAGAGAGACATTAGTATTCAACGAGCTTAGAATCTCTGGTTTTAAAACTGCTGTAACTCTGTAAAGCAAATATCCACAGTCTTAGAAAGAGAAACTGAAGTTAAAGCCTGCTGCATTCAAGGGGGAAATATCCACTATTTTTATATTCAGTTTTTAATCAATTATTAATGAGCAATAAAATTTTAAAGTATTTTTATTTTTATTTTTATTTATTTATTTATTTATTTATTTAATATTTTTTCTTTTTAATTGAAGACATGGCTATAGAAAACATAAACAGCCATTTTGAATTATATACCAATCATTAAGTTATTTTAGTTTCTTTTTCTTTTTTTTCTGGAGAGATTTTTGCTACAGGGTGCATATGCTCATTGGAGAGACAAAGAGAGACATAGATACAGAAAGAGAGAAGGGATGGCCATGCCCCCGTCCCTTCTCCTCCATTCTCCTCTAAGGATTTTGGGCACACACGCACATGCATCCGGGGTGAGTTTTAAGCTGCCAGATCTGTGACTCGAACCACAATCAACTACATGGGAGTCTAGTGATGTAACCATTCTGCCCTCTGCTGGTTCTTTCAGTTTCTTGTATGACTTCTACAAAGTTATGGGATACACCAAGAAAACATTAAAATGACATTGCATAAATTTATATTTAAAATAAATTCGGACATACATGAAACTAAAATCTATGAAGTATTTTTTTTTTTTTGAGAGGTTTTTGCTATAGGGCGCGTGTGCTCGCCAGACAGAGAGAGAGAGACAGAAAGCGAGAAATCACCCCCCAGGGGGGATGGCCACACCACAATCCCTTCTCCTCCTTTCTCTTCTTGGGATCTTGGGCACACACGCACATGCGCCCAGCGTGAGTTTTAAGCCACCGGGTCCGGGACACGAACTGCGGTCGACTACGTGGGAGTCCAGCGACATAGCCATTACGCTAACTGCTGGTTCCCTGAAGTTTTTTTTTTTTTTTTTTTTTTTTTTAAGGTTTATTAATTTCTTCCATGAGACAGAAAAACAGAGAGAGGCATAGAAAGAGAGTGACAGACCCCCATGACAGGGTCTTCATGCCCTCAGTCTCAGCCAGCCTGGATCACAGCATGTATGCACATGCCCAGTGTGTTCAGGGAGGTCTCAGGTCACAAACCCAGGAGTATTCCTATGTGGGTTCAATTGTGTTACTGCTACCTGGCCCCCAAAGGGTTAAATCTTTTAGAAAAAAAATGTTCCAAAAGAATTATCAGCTCTACATATAGTCCCTTTACCCACTCCCAGCTCCTGGCTCTGGACAATCACTAAACTACCATCTCCATATTTCATTTAAATTAAAGTATACAACATACGGTCTTTTGTTACTGACTTCTTTCATTTAGCATTATTCTTTCAAGGTTGATCTATGTTGTGGTGTAAATCAGTACTTCATCTTTTTTTTATTGCCAAATGACATTCTACAGTGTGGATATAAAACATTTGGTTTGTCTGTTCATCATACGATACACACTGGAGTGTTTCCGCCTTCTGGCTATTGTGAGTAGTGCTGTTACAAATACTGGTACACAATTAGCATGACCATATTTTCATTTCTCTTGGGAAGCTACTAAGGAGTGGGATTGCTGAGTGACATTCCAAGTCTATATTTAACCTTTTAAGGAACTGCTAGACTGTTCTAAAGTGGCTGTACCATTTCACATTCCCACTGGTACTGTATGAGGGACCTATAAATATTGGTATGGAAGTCTTTGTCTGGGACTATCAAGCTTCTTCAGAGACACATCCTTCAATATTCTGCATGGGAAGGATATGGGACCTACTTCTGGAATAAGAAAAGGAGGCTAATCTTTCCATTTGTAGACTGACTTGATTTCATTTTACAGCCCTTGCTGACTCATCTCACTTTTCAAAGTATGTGACATTCCTGAGTCCTCTCTTCTATGCCAACTTGAGAGAATTAACTTTCTGACTGGGACCAATATTCCATATATGGCACTGTGGCAGGAGTATTGGTCTTTTGATTATTGTTTCAAACATCCACTTCCTACCATTTTTTTCTACCCTATAGCACCACTTTTCATTGCATGTTGCTTCTAATTTCCAAGCCAAGCTTTGTGAAGTCAATCTCTTTTTGTTTGAATGTCTCTAAGGGCTCTCTTGTAGCTTCCTTTGTCCTGTTCAGTAGGTTACTGATCATCCATTCATTTCTTCTTTCCAAAAATGAGTATATATTTATGGTCTATTGATCCTTATCCTGTTCTCTTTATATCTGTAGACTTATACCTTTTAAAATTAATTTACTCTCATTTTACTAATGTGTCATGAAAGAGAAGAGATAAACATTAAGTGTTCTTTTCTTTTCAGTGTGCTAGAAGGGCAGAGAAAGGGGGAAAGGGAGAAGTTTTCCTGCAAGGGGGAAGGCCACATCGCAATCCTTCTCCTCCATTCTCCTTTTGGTTATGCATGCGCATGTGCCTGATGTGATTTTTCAAGTCACTGGGTCTGAGATGGAACTGTGCAGTCAGTCATGTGGAATCTATCTAGCTGCCTTAACTTCCATACCACCTGCTGGATATGAGCGGGCTTTTAATCATTTTATCTAAGAAATATAATTTCAAAGAGGTCCTAGAAATTGCTCTTAGGTTTATTATTAGAAATTTTCTGAACTTTTCCATTGCTATTATGAATGAGCCCCCTTTTACCCCCACTATATCTTTTAAATAGCTAATGCTGATACAGAGTTTTATAGTAATTGAGTTTTGTATTTTTCAACTGTTTATTCTTCAAGTTATTTTCTCAACTGATATTTATGGTTTTATGGGAGAATAATCATACCGAGTAAATAATAAGGTTTATGTGTTTCCAATATTTATATATTTTTCATATATTATTGCATTGGCTAGAACATCCAGGGCAATGTTAAAACTGTAGGTGATGATCCTGACATGGATACCAAACTTGAGCTGTGAAATACTGCTTTCCTTGACTAAAAAT